ATGACGTTCGCAGAGAGAGGCGATTAAGTTTTCAAAAGTTCGATGGTCTTTCAAGGGCTATAAGGCCACACATTATTTCCACGCCATTATTCGCTATAGACCATTGTCGGTTATCAACTGGGAAGCGGTTACCAGTCTCGGTAGCGGACTAGCGAGTGGCTACTAACCTGACTTGAGACTCCGGAGCGGATAGGCATGACCCAGCTCAAGAGGTATATACCTTGTCCACTATGGAAAGTTCACAGCGTTACGGTATTCTGAAGATGACGAGGCTGTGCTTGACAGCAAGGTGGAATCTCAGCTCCCCCTTCCCATTAACGCTACAACGTTTTCTATCATCGTGCAGATGGTCTTATTGAGGGCTTTCGTGTGGCTCAGTCGGTTAGCTCTGTCCGATATAACGGCACCGACAAGGCAGTGGACTCCACCTTAGTGAGAATAATATCACTACTGCGGATATCTACCCATGGCCTCCCTCCTCATCCAAGAGTCGTTGTACTGAGTGAGCATGCACATGTTGTTCTCCTGTGCATCGCGATGTTGATTTTCGTGTTATTAACCTTTCTAGACTGTGCTTGCCTTGCGTTTGGACATTTATCGGGACAATATCGAGGGCGTTTGATCGTTCAGTATGGCCAAGCGCTACTGAGATTATATTCCATGACCACGTGGTCTAAGAAATTCCGTTCAATTTTCTCTGAATAGATTTACAAGAGTCAATTACAGTGTGGTAAAATATGCACGCGGTCAATTAAATGTGTCGGGGACAATGTGAGGAAATTTTGGAAAATTTCTGTACACTTCAATGCTAACTCATGTATAAACTCTTAAAATGGTTGAGGAAGTTCTTGATTTCAGGTGAGGGAAGCGAATATATATTCTAACATTGGTCGATTATGATGCTACCGCCTCCTATGATGAGAATTCGACTGTTGCTATGGACGTATCCACCCAGCTTTCGAAATCCATCCTATTTCTTCGCACAGTTCTCAAGTCTCGGACATTTAGTGTTCGATAACTCTGCTTTAGCTCGTAATTGTGCTGAACTGTCAGTTCCTGCTTTTCCACACTATGAAAGTGTCTCTCCTAGTGTTGGCACTCTCCTCCACAGAGTTCGTCTCAGGATCAGTTCGAGTGCAGCTCACGAAGAAACGAAGCCCGCATCCAGCGATCCGGAACGAGCATAGGGTTCCGTTGCATCATTTTAAAGTGCGGTTGTTTAACCCCGACGAGTCCAGTCTGGGGGCGAACTCAGCGCCCTCAGTAGAGGTGCCCGTTGTGGAAAGTGGTATGGTGGGCAATTTTAGCTACTATGTTGAACCTATTCTCAACTTGGCCAATTTGCAGTACTACGGACCCATCACTGTTGGGACTCCTGAACAGGCTCTTACCGTCCAATTCGATACTGGTTCTAGTGACCTGTGGGTACCACAAACGATGTATGATTACCACACCTCGCAAACATCTTCAAGCTCGACAACGCAGAGGGTGCTGGAGTATGGCAAGGGCGCGGTGTTTGGCAATTTGACCAATGACAGAGTGTGTCTGGGCCTCTCTGGTGAACTCTGTATACCGGGACAAAACTTTATCCTGGCCTCGGCACAACGCGATATGAACATGCGGTTTTTCGACGGAATTATGGGTCTTGCTTGGCCCGGTCTATCCCGTACGGGAACGACGGTCTTGGAACACCTGAGTGAAATCATGGACTACCCGCTCATTTCCTTCTCATTCACTGACGATCCTATTTTTACAATGTCTCTCGGAAGCACGGTCACTTTTGGTGCTATCGAAGA